CGCCGCGAACGAGAATCGAACCCGGGCCTCCCGATCACGAAGCGAACGCTCTACCACTAGGATACCGAGACCGGTCACAGGACAAAGAATTAACTTATAATCTTAATAAAAAAAATTCTGAAAGCTCTATTGAACCGCGAAGAAAGATGTTGAGTCATGATCGTCAATACTGCTTAGATATCCTCTCCGTGCCCTGGAGGATGCATAAAACTTTTCAACAAAGTACGTCACTTACGGTGGTCAATGGCAACCACCTTCACCTCCTTCTAGCTGCTCCAACCCAGTTCTTTCCATTCTCAGAAGAGCGTTGACGGGTGCGTTTTGGCCGTCATTTTCTTCTTTTTCCCTCAGGGGTCCATGTGAGAGCTGTTCTAATCTGTAAACTGACTTCTCTTCGAAGAATTTGGGCTATCCATCTCCATCCTTTGATCGTATTTAATAAGGTATGAATCTTGCTCTTTCATACAATTGTTAGGATCTCCTTGAATTCGATGTAATGTGTGCAAAATTTCATTGTCTTTCTTGGTGGTTTTCTTAGTTGGGAACCATACAGCAACACAGATAAAACTTTTGTGTTGAAGATGTTAAGTTTAGTCTTTGTGCTGTATTGTGCCGACTTCCATATTTTGGTAAGGAATGCAAAAGTAATCCTGGCTAATCCTAGCTTTCTCCCTTTGTCTGCCTCAGTTTCTCCCGTCTTGTGTATTGTTTCACCCAGGCAGAGGAATGTTTCGACATCTTCTACTTCCTTATCATTTAACCGGATTCTGTTTGTCTTGTCCACTTTAAATTTTAAGTGTGTATATTCAGCGACATCTAGATCTCCTGGTCTTTTCTTGCATATAGAGCTGTGTTTGCTGGGGAAAAGGGCGAATTATTCTGCATTATCCAGGTCCTCTGTGGTGAACATAAATTTCCATCGTTTTCCTTTCTCCTTATTGTTGGTTTTTCTCATTAATCAGTCTACCACAATGATGAACAGGAACCCAGACATAATACATCCTTGTCGCACTGTGTTGTGTCAATTGTAGTAATTTCAGCAATTATGTTCTCTTGGATCTTTCATCCCTCGGATTATTTTGTTGCTTCTCTTGGAACATTAAGAACCTCTTCAAAAAGTCCTTTCAACTTTTCCAATATTACTTCATCCTCGATGATATGCTCATCATTTTTGTTCCTTATGCCTCTTGTTTTGTTTTTCTCTCTCACACAAAACTGTTTAGTCAGTTGGTAAACTTCACTTGGGCGGTTTGCGTTTGATGTCTTTTCCGTTTGGTTTGCCATACCAAGTATCCTCCAGATTTTTTCTTTTATCAGCTCTGTTTCTGCAAAAAGTCTTTGTGTTTCCTTTTCTTATTGCTCAAGGCTTTTTCTGCTGTTTTATTACTAGTGTATACCTTCTTCACAAGGGTCCATTTTCGTTGACTGTTTTTCTAAACAAATATTTGCTGACACCTATTTCTTATTCAAAGCTGTTATCATTTGAATATTCTTCGATCTTTCATCTTGCTGACCTCAAACATCTTCCTGTTGCTTTCTGAATGGCTTTAATTTTCTTCAGAGCTTCATCTTTACTTTGATTTGAATTGGCATCTGCACCACGAAGAACCCTTAAATCATATACAGACTTGCTGTATCTGCCATTCACAATCACATGATCATTTTTTGGTTCATATCTCTTCCACTAGGAGATTGGTATGTAGGTATCTTTATGTAAAGGTGCTTAAAGAGGGTTTTTAGATAAGTTATTTAGAGCGCACACTTAAGCTTTTCAGCCAGCTTTTTGCATTGACATCGCCAAATAACATGAGTATATAATGTTTTGGTGCTCTCTCTCTCTCTCTCTCTCTGTAACTGCTCGTAGAGGGTGTTCTTATCCGTTTCATCTGCTTCGTTTATTGGACTGTATATTTCTGTTACTTTTAACTTAGCAAACTGGATTTTGATCAGAGTTTGCTCTTTTAGATGAGTTATCAGCAAAGGCTTTCAAGTCTCATCTATCGCCCGCGTGGCGCAGTGGATAGAGCGTCTGCTCTAGAGTCGCGAAGTAAGGAGTCGATCCTTACGTTGCGGGTTCAAATCTCACTGTGGGAAGTAGAAACCAGTCGTTCGAATGAGACCGTATAAACCGAGGTCACGTGTAGCAGTAGGTATTGGCACGAAAAAGATCCCTCACTGCTCAATGGCCCTGAGTGCCGAGTATAGGACAAAATTTGTAGCTCTCCATCGGCAAGTGATGGCGTCTCCATATGAGAGAAAAATTCTCGAGAGTGATGTTAAACAACATACAATCAATCAATCAAGTCTCATCTTCCCGTGCGCCCTTGCAATATAGCCTTGGATCAAAAGGTTCCCAGTATCCACCTGCTTCGACGTGGAGGCATTGCTTAGGACCTTTGGAGAGGCTATGTACTTTGGTAAGGAAAGACTTATTTAAGGAATCACTGTCTAGTTAGGAGGCTATGCCAGGGACATCAACAATAGTGGGAAACATGGGATAATTTGCATAACTGGCGAAGCCCGTTATGCTAAAATTATCCCATGTTCCCCACTATTGTTGATGTCCCTGGCATAGCCTCCTAACTAGACAGTGATTCCTTACATTTCCATTTTTACTTGAAATAACAATCTTAAAATAAATTAGAATACGTCTAATTTAGAATATTTAAAATACACGAGGCATTCCATGTTATTTTCCATAGCCCCGCCCCGTGACGTCAAATTTTACTATAAAAAAATAGTCCCATAAAACACGAACCAAATTTAATGATTATTTAGTTACTGTAGCCAAATATCAACATTTATAGAATAAACAACAAAAGAATTTTAAATTATGATCAAAGCAATCTTGTTAATTTTAATTATATATGTGACCTAAATTTAGGTTGTCGGAAGCACGAACACGTGTACAGGCCCTAGGAGACTTCGCCGCCGACATATTGAATGCAATGTTGCAGTTTATGAAACGGGAGTTGGTCAGCATGGTCAGGAAACAGATACGTGTGGATGTTAAAATAACCGAAGAACTTGGATTGCTTAATAAGTCGGATGGTAATGACTGAGGGACGATGTCTGTATCAGAAAATGAAGTGCAGATCTATGTGGCAATGCCGATTTCTCCACGTAATGGGCTGTTTACCATGTTTACGGAAGTGGAGTTCTCGGTCTCGCGAGGTCTCGATGATAGTGGACTGGTGACTTGCTTTTGATCCGGAGATAATTCATTAATTTTTTTGTTTGTAAAAATATATATCATATCTAATTACTTAGTAAACAATTAAACAAAACATCTGTTTTTCTTCAGTGTAATTATACGCCAGTCATATACCATACGTATACATGCAGGTTGACATTTGACCTTTCAGTAGTATTTCAATATAGAGAAATTTACATGCCACAGAAATCACGGAGAAATTAACAAGATTCACTTTTGTAGTATTTATCATAGGGAAATGGAAATATAATTTCACCAACTGCATATGAGTTTATATATCTCAGTTGATTCGATACGCAAGAGCATGCTCCACGTATAAACAATTTCTAAAACGAGCTAGGTAAATTTTTGACAAACAAGTTGATGAAACAAGAATTTCAGCAGTCTCGTTTAAAGACGTCATTTCGTACGTGGTCGATACAATGACCTTGTCAGCAAATACAATTTATCATTGAGTATTTTCTGATTGACTTTTTTCACACTTATTGTTAGTCCATTATTTATTATTTCCCGATTATGACAAGGAGTACACTTCGGGAGGTCCGTGTTTGCTCTGGTCCTGTTGTTTTATGGATTTTGATCTTAAATACTGTTCGTTATCTACATATGTTTCATATACAAAATATTACTGCGGGATCAGGTGCCAGGGAGGATCATTTCCTGTTTACCGGTAACACCCTTAATGTACTCCTTGTCATGAAGGAGCAAACGATAAAAAAAAAAAAAAACCAATCGTAGACAATCGTAGAAAATGAATAACTCATCAAATAAAGTACCATAGTATCCTGAAACAAGTGTACAGTGCAGAGAGGATAAATGGTATTTACTAGCATGTGGAGTGTTTCGACTATTTGAATTTGCGAAAAGTTACATGTAATTTTAAACGAGGCTATTGATATTTCTTATCTCACCTACTTATTAATCAATAGTTTGCATCGTTCTAGAAATTGTTCATTCGTAGAGTATACTCATGCGTAACCACATAAATTCTATATGCAGATATGATATTGCTACATTAATAAGGGAAGCTGATGATAGTCAACTTGAAGTCATCAAGTTTATCATAAATTAAAATTTTGTTGTAACAGTTAATTTGCTTCTAATTTATTTATCTAGTGAAATATCTAAATACAATGTATGCGTGAAACAGATGAGTCAAACTCGGTGAATTGTTATATTTTACTTCGAATCATGATTTACTATAACGTCATGGTTATAATTCATATCTTCAAGTCAATTTTAATTCCGTATTTTTTAAATCAGTTCTATTGCATTATAAAAGAAATATTGTGACCGGAAGTAGAATACATAATTATTCATTTTGCGACTTTGATATTTTTAAATGCGGAAAACTACAATGCTAAAACCATTTAAGAAGCTTTAAGGTTTTAGAATAAACAGGATAAATAAAATTTTCTGCCAGATTTTCAATATTAATGCAGTTTTATCAAAACATTGTTTACTTAACAAGCACACATCAATATACCAGTACTTAAAAAAGATCGTAGTTTAAAATAAAAAAACAACTTTCACTTATATTTACTGCATTGAATTTTGACAGCCAATAATAATTTTAAAATCTCATAAAACCAATATAATTTTGTTTAAACTACAGTAATTTATTGTTTTTTTAAAGTAGTTATTCAACGAATGTGATACAAAATGTTTGTATTCTTACATGCACCAAAGAACACGTTTAAAGGGCCCCAAATAAACGAAGTATGCATGAGGTATTGTGGGCCTACCCGGCCCTTTTGTTTAGGAAATGTAAGAAGACATACGCGCTGTATGTTTTGACAGGAATGAGGAAGATTTGAATTGTCAGCCATTTTTGTGCGAAACCTAAACCAAACCAAGCATTTGCGACGGGTTCCTTAGATTGACTACCGGGTACGGAATGATAGACGGCGATCTATCAGAGACAGCGGAAAACGAGTGAAGCTATCCATTTTGGAAAGTTTGATTTCTGGTTTTGGGCTACATCATGTCGCAAAGCTTCGTAGGCAAGGACAGTTATCGTGTGAAATGTGAGGAGGACATCTTAAAAATCCCAGATCTCATGACGGCGCGAGAGTTCATGAAAAGTTGGGGACTCCCGACCAAAGGAATAAATAATACAGAACAGGCCGTGCACATCCTTGTGGATCACTGGAAGAAAAAGGATAAACCAACCAGAGAAGTAAAGAAACAGGTAATTAAAAGGAGGTAGAATAACCTGACAAAATATGAAATTGAAACATGTTTGGAGAAATGTTCGGAGACATGTAAAGGGAGAGGTAGTTGGATATGGGGAAGGGGGTTACACTGAGTAAATATATAAAGAAAAAAATGCCACATTGTCAAAATAATTAAACAATTCAAGTTCAATAACAATATTGGAGGCTGCACACAAAAAGGTGTTCATTTTTTATATATGATCAATAAGATATAATCTTAAATAAGGGTTAGCTACATATTCAGAATATTATACAGATGAGAAACACAGACGTAAGACTTATCGGGGGAAGGGGGTCAAAAGTAAGTTAGGAACTTGGATTTTGTTTGAAATTTACGACAATTATTTTCAAATAACTTATGAAATATTCAAAGGTATTTGGCATATTTTTTCAGTAACTTTCTATTGAATAATACTCTTTCAGAATGCGCCCAAGCATAAAGACACATGTATTGATTTTAAATTCGTTGAGATAACTGCCATGTTCAATATTATTTCAGAAGTTAGCACATCAAATAAATTAAAGTGTTTTTAAACGTTTAACACTTAAAACCTGTATGCGTCTTTTGATTTTTATAGGACGAAAACAAGGTAACGCATTATATGTGCTCTTGAATACGGAAATCAAAGGTTCTGTCAAAACATAGATATTGGTGTCTGATTTTTCTGTTTTTATGGCCAGTTAATAAAGTGAAACGCTTCTAAAGACGTACCAGGGCGAGGAGTAATTATGCTTTCTTTTAACAAATTTGCAAACAATCCTATTGAAGCGTTTGGATTAACAAGAATAGCATAATCATTATGATAATCGTTCTTTTTTCAAAGTGCTTGTAAATATGTGGATAAAACAGCAGATGGGATTCTCTATATGTGTAATGATTTAAGAGACATAAGGGAGTGTTTTCATACAATCTGTGCAATATTATTGAAAAACATGGTTAAACAGAATAATAATATAATAACTGGAAATTGTTTTTTTTAATGCAGATAGTAGTACTCAGTATACCTTATTTGTGCATTTATTACTATATTACTAATACAAGAAAAACAAGCTGTGTTTTTGAAAAACTGATGTCCCTTTCCATATGGCAGCTTCTTACAAAGAATAAAGTTTCTCAAATGCAATTTGATTTCAAGTTCAAAAGATCAAAATTTTTGTTATCCAGCTCAATGCTCAAAGTCAAAGCTAAGGAAAATAATATCGTTAAGAAAGTCATATTACAATAGTGTGAAAGCCTTTACATCAACTATTCAAAGCTATGACCAAGGCTAAAGTTTGATAAACTGTTGCAAAAGTGGGTCGAACTCCGAGGTCAAGAGGTCAAATAGGTTGGTTCTCAAAGAAATATCTTTTCACAAGGTATAAATAAGTGAAATATGGAAGTTGTAACTCTCGATCCTCATTCAAACGTTATGGGCAAGGTGAAGGTTTTGCAGACAAACAGACAGACAAACGGACTGCTTGACAAAATAACTATATATACCTGAATCTGCTATTAAAAAGACGAAGATAAATTATACCTATTTATTTTGATGTTCCGTGTCCATGAACAAAAAAAAAATTAAAAAAACAAATCATGGGCAAACACACATACATTCAAAATAAAATTCAAACAAATTGAAAATAGATATTGATCAATTTTCATTTCATAAATTTATTTTAAAAAATGGGAGGGTGTATTAACTTATATTTATCTTAGAAATTAGAAAGGTGAAACTCGCTTTTGAAATGCATTAAAATCAGAAGCTTCAGTTTACATTTTATTCTTATGATACATAATATTTTTAAAGATTACTTTAAGAGTTTATTCTCTTGCAACGCTTTTTTTTCTTTTATGTGTCTATCAAAGAGCTTTTGTATCTTCTTGTTTTTTTTAGAGTGAATTTTAATGCTTTAATAGAAACACGACACTAGTATTTATATTATATTGGAAAAACATATCCTTAAATCATAATGCATATTTTCAATGTATTGATTCTAGAAAAATTAGACAAAGTCCAAACTAGTATATTTATTGTATACAAACTTGCTATTTCAATTTGATACAGTAGTTCATATGTCATGAAAAATTTATGGAAACCCGGTAAAATAATTATCTGTATCACTCCAAAATAAAACACTAGATGCTCTCAAGCCAAAATACCCCCGACACTTCTGTTTTGATGACCTAATTTCATCACTTTTTACAATTAACATTTTAGATATCCAATGGCTTCCAGGAAGCTATGTCTGATGATCATCGGAAACGGGAAAAACTTGGAATCAAGATTGACGAGACGCTTGAACTCTTCAAAAGATTGCCAAGGCAACAAAAGAGCGACCTTATACGGTTCATTCCAGATCTTGTGCACAAATGTGAGGTCCGGAAACACGAGCTCATGTCTCCGGAATGCACAATTCTCATAGCAGGTAAGCAAATCATAAAAGAAATGAATACATGTGTCACGTATTAAATTATCTCCCTTTCAGAAACACGAAACGATTTTTTTAAAAGGTCTCATCTCTTTAAATACAAATAAACACTTACTAGTACACCATACACATGTATGTTTTCCATTGTACTTGTAGTAAAGGTAAGCTAGATTCTCATTCAACTCAGGTCCACTTATTTCTTCTCTTCTTCCTCCCCAGGAGAAACAGGCGCAGGTAAAAGTAGCTTCATCAATCTCCTGTTAGAGACAAACATCCTTCCGACCAGTCAACTAGCCTGTACCAGCACGTTCTGTGAGCTCCACAAGAGCAGAGACAACCGCAAGACCGCCACATTCTATTACAAGACCATTGAGGGTATCAGGGAACAATCTCCAAGGAAAGTCGACATCAGCTCAAAGGAAGGTTTAAAGGAACTGCAAGATGGAATCACAAAAGTTGATGAGGTATTGGAGGAAAGTCCCTACGAGAAAATCATAATCCAATACCCTTTCCCATTGCTAGAGGTAAGATGTATTTGTCTTATTTTAAAGGCTTAAAACCTTTATTTATTAATCGATATAATGTGAAATAATTTTCGTGTTTGCAGAGTTTGATACCCAAAACTCCATGGGCGTGCACTAGTCTATAAAGGGTTGGAAGATGGATAAAATATATAGGCATAGACCTAAATCTTTAAAACTAATTGGTGTAATAAGTATCTATGCATTTATGGCAACATAATTGCTCGCTGGAGTAAAACCTAACGTCTACCTAAACAAAATTCTTCCACCAGTAGTTTATATGTGTTTTAGACTTTTTACCCTTGCTACTTTTCTTGTTGTGTAATTGTTGTTATATTGATTGAAAGGAGGGTATCGTGTTGGTGGATACTCCGGGGCTAGGAGAAAGTAAAAGTATGGTAAAACACGTGGGCAGATATCTGGAAAAATCATTTGGCTTCATTTACGTGGTCAACAGTTCCAATGCTGGCGGAGTGCACGAGGGAAGGGTAAATATCTTGCAAACGTTTTTTTCAGAAATGAAAGGTGATTTCTTATAAATTGTATTAACGTTCCAGGCTCTGTGAATTTTATCATCAGTGACAAAACAAGCCATGCAGAACAGAGTAATGTGCACAGGTAAATATTTAGCTATAATAATGTAGCCCTCTCCGATTTTTTTTTTTGGAGGGGGGGACATCAGATAAAAAAAATCGGAGAGGGCTACATTATTGCAGCTAGTAAATATTTTGAACACCTTTTTTAAAAATATTTCTAGCTGAAAGACTTTCTCCGGACTGTCATCAATATGAGTGAAGAAGAATTGCACCACGACAGCACCATGTTTATTTGCAATAAATGGGAAACCGTTCCCGATAAATATAAAGAGGAAGTCAGAGACGACACAATGCGGAAGTTACAAAAGTTCTTCCGGAACATAACGGAAGATCAGCTGTTTTTTATGTCCGTGGAGGAGGTATTCCAATTCATATTCTTTATAAAAATCATGGAGGTCAAAGTTTATCAGTAATCTTTGAAATACCTGTATTTCTTTCTAATCGCCTTTTCTCGGAAAAAGATACATCATCTGACATTCTGTCCATAAATATTAATCTAGGCTCAGAAACACTACGCCACACTGGGTAAAATGTCACCGGAACAACAAACGATGCTGACTGGGATACAGAAATTACTTCCGGCTAGTCTTGAAAATAAGTTGAACCTTCACTACAGGTAACTACTGCCCATTTATCTTCTGTAGGAAAGACTGACTGCAAGTTTATTCTTCTTAAAAGTAAAAGAAAACTTTGCAGATATCGTTTGAATAACATGACATATTTTGTTACTAGTGTTCAATTTACATTAACAGTGTAACCTTTATTAGACATGATGAGCGGATAGATATAGTTGAGGTAACTAATAATCAGACTTTCTTGGGTATTAATTTTGTTCTTATGAATTTTGTCCTCAGGTTCATTTCCCAAATCCTGAAAAGATCCATTTATTCCTTAAAAGTAGCCAAAAACATGGCGAAATGTAACAGTATTGAGAAGCAGAAACTTATTGACGACATCAAGGCACGAATGCAAACTATCCAATGCAAGGCCTTGCAATCAGTGGACGACCTCAGAAGAGGAATGGAACATGAAATCGGAAGTCTGCACAAAAGCTTGACAAGTATAATAAACTCTGATGAATTCCGAAGAGCTTGCAAATCATGGGATCCGAGAGAGTGTCCAGGGTCAAAGGATTCCAAGAAACTCATTCGTGATGCCTCAGAGCTCATTGAGAACCGTGTCTGTATGAACATAGACAAGTGGGAGAGACAATACAAAGTGATAAAGACACTTAAAGATAGGATAATCGCCAAACTGAGAAGGGACTGTGAACTCATGGAAGACCAGATTCGAGAGATAGAAAGTGAGCAGTTTAGTTAAATTAAGTACGAGTATGTAAATTTAAGATCCATTTTAACAGTAAGGTCATCATACAATCATTCGATTTTGTGAATGTATTTTCTTTGTTTTCAAAGGTACCCTTATTGCTGGTGAAAATGCTATCATCCGAGATCTACACAAAACAATTAAAGGCGATCCTCGGCGCAAGAAACCCAAAGACAAGAAGAAAGACAGCAAAAAAGATGACAGGACTGCTGACCTTAAAGTAAGATCGCTAGGGGGCGCTGTTAGTATCGCAGGGAGATTTGACAGCAGCAAATCAACCAAGTCCTTTTTCAAAAGCTACAAGAAAAAATCCCCGGAAGAAAGCATGGCAGACGCTGTCGATATTTACATTCAAAATATTCTTAATTCCAAAGAACTTTACAAAAATATAGAAATTTTTCTTATGCGATATACAAAAGGCATAGATATGGTGGCTCGCAAAATTCCAGATTTTATTTCATCTGATGAGGAAATGATAATGGAGATAGAAAAACAGCTTCAGGAGTCTGCCGACTGCATGCACGAAGTCCCAGAACTGATACGGAGGAGCACTGTCTTGCTTGGACAACTAGACATGATATATGTAAGTGACATCATGCGCAAGGACTATCGGTTACGAGATTTGGAGTGGAGCCTCAACTCCAAACTCGGAAGTGGAGCGTTCGCCGATGTATACGCCGCCAAACTTCAGCAGGGTCACAAATCGGAAAATGTTGCCCTGAAACTGTTCAAAGATCCAGTTCGTTCTAATACAGTCAGTGACATTTTGCTGGAGGATCGCACGATGAGGTAAATTATAATTTATTTATAAACAGCTGCAGTGGGAGACTTCATGTATTGCATAAGCTTTGTTTTCATTCCATATTTGAATTTGAATTTTTGTGAAAATCAACTACTTCCATTTCAATGAATTTTTACTATGTTTGTTGTATGTTTAGATGTAGGTGCAAGTCATACTCCTTAATTTCTTTTACGATTTTTAAAGCTAAAAATGAGTTAATATTTTGAAAATGAAATTTCTGTTTAGGGAGATGGACCATCGCAATTTGATTCGTTATTATGGTTGTACTCTCCAAGTTAAGGACAACGGCAAATTGTACTGGATAATGATCTTAGAATTCTGCCAGTGCACACTTAAAGACAGAGTTATCACCGACGACTATCAGAATCCCGGAACAGTTGACGAAGCCTTACAGCTACGCCCCAAATTAGAAATGGCTCGATACGCTTCTCAGCTTTGTCACGGTTTAGAGTACCTCCATGGAAAGGACTTGGTACACAGAGATTTGAAACTTGAGAACATCCTAGTAAGTGTATATATTTCATTGAAAAAAAAATGCGCAAAGAATTGTGCAATCAATCATGGAGATAACGAACAGTACTCAAGCTAAAAAGTCCATTGACACAATGGAAAACAAGAGCAGTACAAACACAGACTTCTAAAAACATCAGAGGTGGGATCAGGTTGCATGGAGGAGGAAGCATCCCCTGTTGACCAGTCATAACCGGCTGTATTTCCTTGTCATGACCGTGAAAACAGAAATATCCGTAGACAATTCAATGCGTAAATAATGATCATATAATTAGCATTGAAAGTTCAGTCAGCATTCGACTTGATGATAAATTGTACTTGCTGACAACGTAATTGTGTCAAGCATTGACGATTTTACAAACTGTTGATATCCCTGTTTAATAAACTTGTTTGTGAGAAGCTTGTATCGTTTTTAAAAATTATTCATAAACCCTATAATCAGGAAACGAAAATAGTTGACATACTTTAATTTGATTTTATATTAGAATTAATATTTTTTGTTTCTCAGCTTACTAAAAACAACGATGTAAAATTAACCGATGTCGGTCTCTCTAAGCCCCAGGACGATATTTCAGGAACTCTCGCGGGATCTCCAGTTTACATGGCACCGGAAATTCATCTACAGAAAGGAATCTACAACAGGAAGGCCGACATTTTCAGCCTCGGTATCATGTTATGGGAAATGTGGTATGGCACTGACGCAGCAGACCACATTTCTGATGTTCTCGCAAAGAAAGGCTATAAAGCCTCAGATCTCGGATTCTTGTTGGAGAAAGGACTCAGACCGGAAATGTTTGAGCGTTATCGTCCGGATCAGGAGTGGAGTAACCTCATCATCCAATGCTGGACACTGGAGGCGAAGCAACGACCGGAAGCACGCCATGTTCGCAGATTCTTTGACGACTTCATACATTTGAATTCAAGAGTGAAATGACCACAGAGGAGTGAGAGGTGTTCCAATTCAGGATTTTATTTTAAGCTGAGAGTATTGGAGATCTCCAGTGACCATGATTACAAACAAAAGACTTGGAGTATACCAAAATTAAAATTTCATTAAATGCCACTGATCATTGACACACAATAGACACTGGATCAAATGTATATATACAATAGTACCTGGGAACTGATTATTGACATCAGAAACTGTAGATACACAGTATTAAAATATTATACAGTTGTACACTATACTTTGAGTACTTGATAATTGAAATTTCAAAAGAAAAATAATATATATGGGCTAACTTAAGAGTTAATAGTGTTTTTATTTCACAAAAGTATAATATTCCAATTGTAAAGATGAATTAATGGTTAATATGATCAATAATATGATTAACTGATTCAAGTCGATATGCTTATCATCTCGACAATTGATTGTAGGGTACCAGAGGTTAGTAACCACTTCTTTGAAAAAAATGCAGATGTTACCATCTCTTCTTTCTGAGTTACATTTCAGTTTTTATCCTACAAATATATTATAATAAGTGAATCAACATCAGGATCGGGGACATCGAAATCTTTAGACCTTAGGGTCGAAAATCCTGATTGCATGTAGAGTACTAGGGGTCAGTTTTCACTTGCGTGGAATAAATGATGGTGGTATCATCTCTAGTTTCTCAGATACAATCCTCAGCTTTATAAACTTACTATTCTATACTTAATGAAAAAAAAAAACACCGGAAATCAAATTCTACCACAAATGGGGACGGATATTTTGAGGGTGGGGTACTATTTATCAGTTACCACTTCTGTAAAAAAAAATGAAAATGGTTCCATCTCTAATTTCTAAGATACAGTCCTCATGTTTTAATGCTTACTACATGTATGAAACATATGGAGATAACGAGATCAAAAGTCCATAAAACTACAAAATAGGAGCAGAGCAACACGAACCTCCAAAATATCGGAGGTGGGATTAGGGGCCACGGAGGGCTGAACATCCCCTGTTGATCGGGTCACACCCACCGTGTGCTCCTTGTCATAATCGGGAAAAAACGTAAAAATCCGTCGTCAATTCAGTATATAAATAATGGATTAACAATTAGTATGAAAAACGTCAGTCAGCATTTGACTCAATGGTAACTTGTATTTGCTGATAAGGTCATTGTATCGACCATAGAGCTTCAGAAAAAATGACTTTAAACGAGATTGCTGATATTCTTGTTTCATTAACTTGTTTGTAAATAATTTACCTCGTTTTAGAAATTGTTAATACGTAGAGCAAGATCTTGTGTATCGAATCGAGATACATAAACCGTATGCAGGTGATATTGAACTCCGTATGCAGGTATATTAAACTTGTTAAATAAACATCGGCTTTGGTACATCGAAGAGCCTTAAATTTTTAGGGTAGAGAACTAGTTGAGTGCTCTACCTCCGTTGAAAAAATTGGTGATGGTACCTTCTCTAGTTTCCAACATTCATCCCAGCCCTCTCTTTCTTTAATGCCTAGTATGTTATAGTTATACATACCTACCTACTCTTAGACTTCATCACTTCTTTCTGGTTCTCCCCAGGTTAATTTGTGCTTTTTTTAAATTTCCTTTTCCACAGTCCTTCGCTAGGTGTCCTTTGGTCGACCAGGTTTCATCTTCCCTTCTGGTGTCCATCGAACACTTACTTTGGTGATGTTGATAACTGGTTTTCTTAACACATGCCTTTTCCGTATCAAAAGTTCTTAATTCGTCTGTGTTAGTTTTTTTTTATAGAGTTCCACTTATTTGGCAAAAAATAAAAAAATAAAATCCTCAAGGTCATTTTGAGGCATTCATAGTGGAAACTAGAAGCCTGCATATGTTCGCTCGTTCTCCAGCATTCTGTCCCATAGGGTAGGACAGCCAGAACGCAGCTATTAAAGATTCTTATTTTCATCTTTCTATTTACATGTACGTCATTTGTTTTCCGGGTGCTCTTGAGGCTGAAGAAGGCATTCCTTCATTAATTTCCTTTGCAGGTTGATGATATATGGTTCTTTGGACTATGTCGTTAGTATTGTGTTATTATTCCAGTCTTGGTGAATAATGGTTGTTAAATGTCAGCTGCTAGGTATATATAGATCTGCTTTGAATAAGTCTGCTAGTCGTTGGTCATTTCATTGTCTTTGTTGTTCTTAAGAGATATTTTCGCTTTGAATATTTCAGCTTAAGATGGTTCCTCTGTTTCAATTTCTAAATCAGGGTCACTTCCGGTTGTGCTCCAGCTTGTTAGGCTTTGGGCGATTTAACACTCCTTCAAAATTTTACCTCCATCTTTTGGATGTAATGGGGTTGCCTTTCTTGAATTTCACCTGTCATGCATATTTGTTTTCTCTTTCCACTCATTTTTTGTTATTTGATAGAAATCTCCAAATCTTCATTCAGGAGGAGGCTTCTCAGCTATTTCTATATAACTTTTACGACCTTTCTTTGATTCTTTCTTTACATCTCAATGACAATTGGGATATTGTTCTCTTTTATATTTTCAGTGTGTATTACAAAACTTAAGTTTTGAGGTTTTTTCTTCTGTGAAGGATTTTCCAGTTATCTAGTATAATCCATATCTTGTGCATCTGCCTTTTAAACTCTAAAGTTCTCTTGATTGTTTCAATAAAGACTTTGCAGAATTTACCCAAGTTCTCGTCAACACTTCCTTGTTCTAAACATCACCACATTGTAGGACCTGAAATTTGAGTTCTAATCTTAAGTCTTAATTGTCTGTTTGCTGGAACCGTGTTCCAAAAATCAGTGGCCATAAATTCTGTATAAATATGCCATTCACATTCATACTTCCTATATATATCCCTCCCTATAAAACTTTCATAACCTGATTGTCCCTTCTTCCAGAATACACAATAACTTCACTTGTACTGCTAATATTCTTTCCAAAATCTGCCCATCTACACTCACTTATACCTAGTGCAAGTAAAATGTTTTCCTTCATCTCTCTCAGTACTTCAGTCTGTTTTACCTTTCCTATTTCATACATGGTACCTTCGTTCCAGAAACCGACTCTCATTTTAGTTTGTGTGTCCAATATACATGTGCACCTACTTCTCGTGTGGACCATTTCCTGTCGGATTTCACTATTCACAGTCAAATACTAATATGCAGCATTCTTTTTCGTAATTGCTATGTTTTAAAGGAAGTTTAAATTATCCCCTTGGACAACCCTAACCCGGAGAACTATGATAATTTTTGTATAGTTTCCTTCAACTACATACTGATCTATGCCCCGTGGGGATCCGGGTTGGAATATGTCCTCAGTACCCCTTTGCTTGTCGTAAAAGGCGACTAAATGGGGCGGCCCTTCGGATGAGACCGTATAAACCGAGGCCCTGTGTCACAGCAGGTGTGGCACGATAAAGATCCCTCCCTGCTCAAAGGCCGTAAGTGCCGAGCATGGGCCTAAATTTGCAGCCCTTCACCGGCAATGGTGACGTCTCCATATCAGTGAAATATTCTGGAGAGGGACGTTAAACAGAATATAATCAATCATAATCATACTGATCTATGACTTTCTATGGCTGTCGAGCCTAGACCTTCCTATGTTTTTTTTTAAATTCGATCCCCTATGTAACTGCCAATCTCCAATGCAAAGTTGTCGTTCGTTCCTCTCTCTCAGTGTAACTGCCTTTTCTTGTTAACGTCCTTAGCTAAGCGGTTTTCTTTATGAATCGGCCTACTAATTAGCATTTCCTTTTCCCAAAGGTGACCTCAAGGCAGCGGCGGTTTGTTTTTGCTATTTACCCATTGCTTAGAGCTAGAATTGCAGGTACCAAAGCATATCCACTGATGGGCCATGCATGCCGTGTATTTTGGGTCTTAGTCTCCTCCAAGACCCTGTGGTTCATCTGCTACCTCAAGGAAGGTCCCATATTCTGAGTCACATATATTACTTACTGTGGAGAGGCTATACCTGTCTGTAAAGACTTGCTGAAATTAAAGCGAGAGTGACACAGACAAAACACACCGTACGCATCACACAGCCATTATAGCAGATCTAATACAATATTCTGATTGAATAAACATCGGGCTCGGGGACAGTGATGTCCTCTTCCTTAGGGTATTTGGGCCCCTCGAACTGAATTCTGTAATCGCAGATCACCATCTTATGTCTTGAAAACATAATTACCTCACCTCATCGAAGCGGGGTTATATGATACCCTCGGCGTCGGTGTCTCATGTTCATTCATTCATTCATCTTTTATTTCCTCATTACGGAGATTAGAATCAAACATACAACAAAAGTTACAAAAAAGTGGAGACATATATGTACATAAATGTAATGAAAAGAGATGAATTAATCGAAAGGAAAATATTTACATATATTTTAAATGTGAAAAAGTTTTAAACAACTTGATGGAAATTATGTTACGCAAGGAGTCTATTGTAGACTCCACAAGACGTCACTATGTGTTTTGAATTCAGTTTCCTAAACTCAGTTTCCTCCGTTTGAGTAAGGACTGTCAGTGTTTGTTTTCCTAGGAGTATTAGGAAAAGGTCATCCTCTGGGAGGCCGCTGAGTTCCGCTTCCAGGTGTATGGGAAAAGACCTGGACAAAGAGTTCCACCAGTTGGAGTGCTGTGTTGTTAGTGCTGGACACGAGACGGTAGCATGCGAGAATACATCGGTAATAATGCGTCCACACAACATACAGGTTATCGGGGTCTGTAGGGGTTTGGAAGCTATGAGTTTAAAAGTAAATTTCAGGTTTTGAATTTCACTGAAGGAATTGGTGTATTGCCACATAAGAATTGGATTGGATGTGCAGAAAACAGTATTAAAGCGAAAAAAGTCCAGATCGTGATCTGTCCGTTCAATCCGTTGAAGAGTTTGGTACTTGTAGACAGATGAGCGTACAATCGATTTCCAGGCGGATTTTGACGGGAATGATCCATCTGAAAGCCAAGTATTTAGGAAGTCTGAAATTTGGTAGGTCTGGAGAAGATGTAGGACATCAGGAATAAATCCCATCTGGGTCTCACTTATATGGTACAGAAAGGAAAAGAGGCGTGAGGTAAAAATCTTTTTAGGGAGGAAGTCAGGGTTCATCCGGCAAAGTCTTCCTAAAAAGAGGAGTTTTCTGTTTTCTGTTTTCGAGTATCGATTTCTGCATTGATTGGTAGAATGTTCATGTATTGTACGCAGATATCCGATCTTGTAAGTTTTGGAAGGTTAAAGATCTGCTTGCAGATTCCGTGTTGGAAAGTGTTAAGACGTCTCACGTCTTCTTTAGTCATGTGGTTCCAGGTCTCGCG